ACAAAAATGTTTTTGTAAATAATTAAAAATAGTTATCCTCAGAATTCTTTTATCTTCAAATTTAATAACTGTTGATATACCTAAATATCTAATAATATTATAACTTTATTTTTAAACCAAACAATGTTACTATAATTTGTGAAACATTTTAGGTACATATAGTAGAAATGCAGATGACAAACAAATTAGCGTAATTTAATGGTGGAGAATTTTTTTTATTTTATTATTAAAAATATTATATTGGAAAATTATTTTTTTGTGTTCTTTTATAATAATATTTATATTTTGTAAAGTACTAACTTAATAATATATTTTAACTTACTTTACAATTGCAGTATACAACTTCCAAGATTACTATATTATAGTGTTTACACATTAATCATACATTGAGGTTTAATAAAAAAAATATGATATAATTTTAGAAACATTTCTTATATTTTTTTGGTATTTAAAGATATTTAAATTTTTTTAAGTAAAAAAGAATGAACATTTAATACAAAGTTTCATCATAAATTGTTCCTATTTGCTATCACAATTATATTAAAATAAATTCATTCAAAATATTAAAAATACATAAATACGATTTTGTTTTGAAAGCTTTTAAAGATTAATTTTTAATGAAATTCATCAAAGTTACAAACATATTATGTAAATGTTACATACAGTCATATACTCATATGTAATAATAAATAATTGTCAACAATTTGATATATACTTGTAACATCATAGTATCATTATTCTACACATTGTATATAGTAAAAAAATAATTCAATTAATAAACACCTGTTAATTTATTATGAGTAGGGAATTTAAATTGTATTTGATTTTATTTAATGTAACTTTTAAGGTAATAGTATAATATTTTTAGCTTTCTTATTATAATGAATAAATAATTTGTTATACATTTAGTTTATCTATATCAAATTTCATTGATAATTATAAATTATCCATATAAATATTATTATATTAAATTTAGTAATCTTTGAATTCTAATATAGATTAGTACCTAAATAGTACCTAAGTATTATTACTGAAGCTAATAATTCTTTATCACTTGATATATTTTATTATAATAGTATAATCAATAAAAGAGTGTGGGTATAATAATGAGTAAAATATTTTTAAATTAGTAATAAAATGGTTTTTATTTAATTTATTTTAAAGTTTTTTTTTCTAAATTTATATTTGAAACTAGTACTTAATTTGATTCATGCGTCGCCAGAGATCAAAGCAAGAATATGCGTTGGTGTAATCCTCAACGTTTTAACTTCAAATCATTATCTGAACTGAACGTTTTATTTTATAAAAATTGTACAAGAAAATTGATTTATCGTAATCATATTCTCCGCTGATAATGCACGGTGCCCCTTGGTGGCCCCGAAACCCTTATAGTTTGTTTTTAACAAGAACTAAAGAACTTCGTCTGATATTAAAAGATACGGCACATAGGTGAGCAATTTAAGAAGTTTGTTATTAAACACGAAACATCTTAATAAATTTACATAGATAAAAAGAAGCGGATACAATATATTTTTTATCAAGACATTAAAAAATAGTTTCTTTGGTCACACACTAGACAGTTATGTTTTTAAGTGTTTGGTATTTGTAAGTATTTATTTTTATGAGAGGTGTAACAAGGACTAACAGTACCTACACGTTGAATGTAATAATATATTATTATGCTAATAATAATACTATACGATTTTTTAAACAATAAACACTCATTATCTTAAAAAGTTAAAACATTTTTGAAAAATTTCTTTTTACAAAATATGAAGTCTTTTTATAATAACTTTTATGAAAGAAAAATGATATATTTTACTCATTTTTTTAAAGTTTTTTATTTATTTTTTTGAATAATAGTATATTTATTTTACATTTCTTATCTAGAAAAAGAATGTTTTTTATAATAATTTCGATACCTACACAAAAATTGAATCTTGAACTTATCACGAACACGAGATAATTACAATTTAAACTGAAACCAAAATTACTGTTTAATCTACCTCGCCGATTATTGTAGTAATAAAATGACAAAAAACATAAATTTTCTATTTTTTATCTTGTGAATTGCTGATTATTGTTAATATGCTAATTATGCACGCTTAAATGGATTAAATTGCTTTAAGTGACTTACCCATGGGAGATGGGACACACACAGCCACGGTGGGTCTCTCTGTTGTTTCGCGTAGCGACACACTGTCGGGTGCGTCGTCATCATCTTGGTCTTCGTCCTCTTCCAACAGGACGGGCGGCTGATTGATCAACTCGTAACCCCATCGCTGACGGAACTTCTTCGCTCCACCGTCTAGCCGGACCCGGGGAAGGTCCACAAATAGTGAATCGCCAATCTATAATTAGATTTTATTTATATATTATGTATTATACTGCTATAAATGTGTACTAATAAGCATTAATAATAGCGTAAATTTTTTAGTTAAAAACGCTGAGTACACTGACCGCCGAAACCTCCACCAATATTTTTTAAGAATAATTTCATACCTATTTATTTTTAAATACTCCAAATATACGTATTTTTATACATTTTATACAAATGGTAATCGATATACACATTTAAATAAACGTTTATATAATATTTTATGCGTACACAGTGCTCGTATTTTTGTTCAAACAGGTGCATACACATCTACGTTATGACGTGCTCTGTCAAAAAGTATCACGTATTCTAAATAAAATTGAAAAAATGATATTTATAAAGGTGTTTGCAGTAGAATAAGAGCTAGTTTTTATACTATACTGTATTGTGAACATAGCATGTAGTTGAATATATCAACTTGAAACGGTAATGTGTTACAGATATTTTGTTGCCCATAAAGTAATTAAATAAAAGGAATATAACACGATAATGCGGTGTAATCCGATAAAAACCTGGTTAAAGAAGAACACTTTTCGGTTACCGATATGGTTATTTCTTGTTTATATTACATATCCGCGGTGGCGTGGTTACCGCTGAAGTCCAACTTATTTTTAGTCTATGCAATTCAACACCGCATAATATTTTGTTTATGAAAAATGAAGACATCAAAAACTGCCTGTTTATTTGACGTTGCAATTTTTTTTTTCATAACCATCAATCCTCATTCCTCAATTGCTTTGCTTTTAAGATAGTAATATCATATATATATTTAAACTTTGAATGGATACCTAATCAAGTAAAAAAAAATAAATGGTACGATGAAAAAGCACAAGTTTTATACGCTTTTGATGGATAACAGTGACTCTAAAAAATGTACAATATGTTGAATATATATGTCATTATGCTAGAACGAATATAATGTATACGTATATAATATATGGTGAAATGTACCATTAATAATTTATCTAATATATAAAAACACAATTATTCCTATATATACCTACGATTTGCCATATTGTTTCAAATTTTCCATAGCATCTATAATAATTAATATTGCAAATATACCTATTATCAGAATAGCAAAAAATCACTCTCGGGAAAAGTACATAGTTTTATTATAGTAATATAGTATTCATATTATTAAGTAATAAAATACATCATATCTACCTATACATAATCATATGTTATGAAGTAACTATTAATTAACTATATATATATTTGATTTTTAATACACGTTTTATTCTAATTCTATATGCTGTATTTAATATCTAATACAGATTTAGAGATATTACTTATAATTGAGTTATAAGTTATAATATACATAATATTAAAATCATTTAACCAACTTTTATGTAAACATTTTTTTATACATGAATAATTGCTATTTAAATTTCAACAATCTTGTATACTCACACAATCACACCCGAAATAATTTTTTCATCAAGCAAGCGATTTTGATTCATTTAATATAATATTAATATAATATAATTATATAATTATATTATAATTAATATAATATATTTATTAATTGTATTAACTTGAAAACTATAATTTTTATGTTCAATAACATTTTTAAAATATTTAGACTAATTATTTTAAGCTATTATTCTATTATTATAGCTTATACATAGATATTTGACATTTAAAATATATTTGTTGTTTTTTCTTAGTTTTAATAAAAAATGTAAATCTAGTCAAAAGTCATGACAATATGTATAATATACGAATGTACCAACACTATCAATACATTAAGTTTGTTTTTGCAATTAAAATATTAAAAAATTCACAAAAATAATTTTTGCGTTTGAAATTTAAATTTATTATTAATTTCAAATTTAATACATCTATGACTTATCAAATCACCAGATACAATCAAAATCTTTACTATACAACAGAGTGGTTACCTATTAAGTCATTATAACAAAATTTAACACTATCATTCCAGTGAATTGATCAATGATCAATAGTAGAGATACTCTATTCTTACTATTAAACAGAACTGTTACTTATTTTTTCCTTTAATAATGCAGTTATTCAAAACCTGATTTTGTAATTTTTAAATATTTTTAAAGACCATATTCATCTTATTTTATTACACAAGTATAGATATTTTTATTAAGTGTGATTAATGTTTCAAAATATCATCTCATTTATTTGTTTATAGTTTTTAGTAGTTTAAATAAATATATGAAATTCTGTAGATTTGTAAAAAATTGTATGATTTTAAAAGTATTTACAATGAATTGGAAATACTAATGAATAAAAATAATAAACTATCATAACAATGTATTAACAATATTAGTTCTGTTAATAATCATTATAAATAATACTCTGCACTCTGCAGTAATTAATAATAAGTGTATTCTTTTCAATTCTATACAATAACGAATATTTTTCACAATAAAATAAAACTTTAAGTTTTGGGCGTAAAATTATGTATTCCAATATGGTAAACAATGAAAATATGTATAATATACTGTTTAAAAAGTTACCAAATTATAAGTCACTTTATACTTAAAAATATTATAAGAGTTTTGTTATAAAGAGGAGGATAATAGTTTTTTCACGATTAAATGTATTTTATCTTAAATAATTGCAAATAAATAAGAATGTTAATAATATATAATTAGAAGATATAAAATATTATTATATTTAATTTTAATTGTTATATGCTCGTTTATTCGTGCACTTCAGATTCTTCAGTAACCGACAGTAGTTGGTTAACTAGTTTTCGTCACTTGCTGAATCTGATGACAATAAACCAAGATGTGTCTGATAATCAGGAACTGTATACAATTTAAACAAATAATTTGCTTCAGAATTTGTAATTGTTTCTTGCGTAGTCAAAGGATTTGATTCGTCGACTTCAGTCTGGTTTTCTTCTGTTGCAGAAGCATTCGATTCCTCTTCTGTCAGAATAGCATTCGATTCCTCTTCTGTCGGAATAGCATTCGATTCCTCTTCTGTCGTAATAGCATTCGATTCGTCTTCAGTTGTAATAGCATTCGATTCGTCTTC